CAACAACAACCCTATCACCAATGAAATACTCTTCCTTCCTTGCCACCCTTGGCATCCATCTCAGAATGTTCTGTTTTTCTCTTTCAAATTCTTATATAGTTATGGGATATAAAAATATATATGTCTCACTCTTCCTCCCTTACCCCCTCAGCTTTTGTTTCAATCTGTTGTTCCAGGATTGTGTATGTATCACTATTTACATGTATCCTGTTTAACCTTTGCATACCTCCCTGTGTTTTCACCCGTCTTCATTGTTCTTCTGCCACCCTCCCTACTCTTGTATATTGCCTTCTCCCGCTTGTATATTGCCCTTTCTGTCACCCAAGCTAACATGCGCCTACCCTTTAATCTGTGAATTCTCTCCTCTCCCTCCTATCCCTGGTAACCATCAAAAAATGTTTCTTTTAGTCTGTAAACCTTTTCTTAAAGTTTTACAGTAATGGTCTCATACAATATTTATCCTTTTTTGATTGACTAATTTCACTCAGCTTAATGTCCTCCAGGTTCATCTAAGTTTTATGAGATGTTTCACAGAGTCATCGTTATTTTTCAGGGTTGCATAGTATTCCATTGTGGGTATGCACCAAGGTTTGCTTATTCAACTGGATTCTCTGTATTTTACTTTTTAGAAGTTGATTAAAAAATGATTGCAACCTAGCTATCCTATAATCGATACGTGATTTCAGTTAAACAGAGACTTGTAGAGACACTACTCATCAAAAGTTGTGGTAGGCCCTGGGCATGCATAGGTTTTGGTCCTCAAGGACTTTATATTCTATTAGAGGATTCAGACAGTCAAGCAAGCTGGTGAATTGATCCATCCAGAAATTCCAGGCAGGCTTTTCAGAAGATAGTTTTCCTGGCTAACAGAGAGGAAAGCATTTTTCAAGCAGAAGGAATGAAAATAAAGTAGTAGGGAGTTTTAACCAGTTTGGAATGAGTAGAGTTACTAGTTGTAAGATTTTACAGTTACCCAAAGGATAACTGGAAAACTATGTTGAGACTAGATTTTAGAGAACTTAGGTACTCTGAGATAGGTTTGATTTATAGTCTATAGACAATGGCAGAATCACTGAAGGATTTTAAGTACAAGGTGAGGATTGTATCAGTAAAGCTGAGGATACTTGTTCCTCAACTTAGTCTAGTCCTATGCAATCTAAAAGATGAGGCAAATTACCTTCTTTCCACTTCTTGGATAAAATTTCCAGCTTTTCTATCCTGCGTGTTTGTCAGATTGGCAGAAATTTTATACTAGAAAATGTCATTAAGTCTTATATTACTTAAGCATGTTTATGTAAGTCTTTATTGACATTCTAAGATAGTAATATAATATAAATAAGCACATAATATTTGCAAAAAATATGGCACCAATCATCTCTCCCGTAGTACTCGCTTGGCTTCTCTGTTGGGTTCAGTGCTCTGTGGCAGTGGCCACACAAAACTCAGACACCATACTCGCAGTTACCAGGTTTATTAGGGAAGGTCACAGGTTATTACTCAGGGCCAGAAATCTTAGGGAACCGCTCTATCAGTCAAGACAGCCTCTCCTCAGCCCTGGCAGTGTTACAGAGCTCTTTTAGGGCTGCTAATAAATGCCCATAAAGTACACTACTGTAGCTTGAAGGCACTCAACTCAAGATCCGTGGGTCAGTAAACCTGACTCCCCCAGTTAAGTTCTGGTGTGATGTTGTTGTTGTTAGTACTGTAGAATTGGTTCTCATAATCATTCAGCATGTATCTCTGTATAGGGTTTCAGAGACTTGTAAATCTTTTGTTGGTTCTTAGTCCAAAGAACACACTTTTGCAGTTTTTGTAAAGTTGGTTTGATCTTCACAAATTCCTTTAGTTTCTGTTTATCAGGAAATGTCCTAATCGCGCCATAATATTTGAAAGACAGCTTTGCTGGGTGTATGATTCTTGGTTGTCAGGTTTTTTTATTTCAGAGCTTTGTATATGTCATCACATTGCCTTCTTGCCTGAATGGTTTCTGCTAAGAAATGAGAGCTTATTTTTATTGGTCCTCTTTGTAGGTAACTTTTTTGTTTTTCCTGAGCTGCTCTCAGATTTCTTTCTTACCCTGTATTTGGTTTTGGAAAGATTGATTATGATGTCTTGGTGATTTTTTTGGGGGGGTTCTTTCAGCTTCTTGTATAGCTTACCTTTTCATCTTTCATGATAATTAAGGAAGTTTCTTCCAATAACTGTTCAACAATTTTCTGGTGCTTTTTATTATCTCTTCCTATAATGAAATTCCACCCACCTGTTGAGTTGTTCCTCTGCGTTGTATTCCACATAACTCTTAGGCTTTCTTTGGATTTTTTCATTCTTTTTTCTGATTATTCATCTAGCTTGCTACTATTGAGAGATTATCTTCAAGCTTCCATTGCTTCTAATCTCTTTTGACCTTCTCAGTGTATTGTCCATTTCTGAAATCTTAGTATTAATCTTCTTGATTTCTAATTGCAGTTTAGTACTGTTTCAAAATTTGCATTTATTTTTTTCTGTTTGTTCTTGTAGTGTTTTCCTGAACTATTTTAATTTTTCTGTTTTCCTTGCTTTTCTTGATCTTTTTGTCAGTTCTTTGAAGGCACCCAAATATCACTCTTTTGGATTCTTATTAAATTAGTTCCATTATCTTTTCTTCGTCAGAAACGTTTTCTAGCTCTGCATCCTGGTCATTGTTTAAGTCATTCTGTCTTGTTTCTTTGTGTGTACTAAAATTGTCTTTTGCCTCCAGGGCATTGTGGGATTGTCATCTTTACATTTAATTTGTGCTTGTATGTTGATAAGTTCTTAGACTCTTACTAATTGTCTCCTGCAGGTATAGTTAGAAAACTGAAGTATGTACACTGTTCTTGTTTGCCCATTTGTGCATTTCAGTTTAGGGTGGGTTTGGCTAGTGTCTGTTGTTGATCAGGTGATATAAGAGCTGGTCTTGCCTCTCTTTCCAGTGGGTGGAGCTGCAGAGGTTGTGGCTGGGCTGTATGGGCACGGTTTCTGTCTTCTGTTGGATTAAAGAGAACCTTCACCCACCCCACACACAAATAAGAAAACAAAACAGGATAAACAAACAAGGAACCAACAATGAAATGAGAAAACAATAAAGAGATAAATAAAAACAGACAGCAACCAGGAACAAAAGAGGAACAGGGAAATGGAACTATAGAAGAGAAAAATAAGAAGAGGAAATACAATGAAAAAATTAACAAAACACTTAGTAAAATCAGGGAGAGGGTAGATGAAAAGAGAGAAAGTAGAGAGTAGTAAAAAAATAAAAAAAGATCAAAAGGAAGGAAAAAAGAGGGGAAATGAGAAACAGAAGAAAAGATGGAAAAACAAAAGCAGAGATAAAAAGGATAAAATTCAAGGAAATAAAAAAGAGAAGAAGAAGGAGGCAAAAGAATAAATAAACAAAAACAGTGAAACAACAAAAAGAAAAAAAAACCAAACCAAAGAACAACAAAAATAAAACAGTGCGATTGTTGGACCTGAAGAGGAGAAAGCTCTGAGAAAGCTCGTGTATACTAAGGAGCTCACAAGATAGGTGTGGGAGGGATGTAACAGCAGAATTCCTGGCTTTAAATGGAGCTCCTATAGGCCTGGGTGTTAATAAGTATGTTCAGGACACTCAATCCACAAGTAGATTGTGGAGGGTTTTGGTGTCTGTTAGGAGCACCAGACAGCTAGGGACATGGTGACTGGTTAAATGCTGGTCTGGTGGCTCTGCAGGTTCTGTAGCCGCTTGAATTCAAGCACCAAAGCAGAGCATCAGAGCAATGCAGCCAGCCCACTTCCACACACACACACACACTCACTGTCGTGGCTTTGGCTTCCAGTCACATAAGTCTGAACACTGGGAGAGTAGAGGCTGAGCTGTGAATTGATGAGGGTAGGAGGTCACCTTTGGTCACCAGGGGAATGTAGGGAAAAAGAAGGAATTGCACCTTTCCTGTCACCTGTGTGAATCTGCTCTGCCAGGCCACCGTCTGTTGCCCAAGTTGCTCACAAGATAGTCATGCTGCATCTGGCTGTCCGTTCACCATCAGTCTCTCTCACCATCCGTGCTCAGCTTCTCCTAGCAAGTATCCAATCCATTTCTCTAACTTTTCCTCAGAAGTTCAGAGTTCCAAAGTTTTCATCTGTGTCTGTTTTGTTTGGTCACTTATGTCTGTTGTAGAGGGGCCATGTAGTTGTCGGCCTAGTCCTACTCTGCCATCTTGTGGAAAGTGTATATTTCATTCTTAAAGACACTGAAAGACAACAACAATACATTGTTGTTGTGAGGTGCCGTTGAGTCATATCCAACTCATAGTGACCCTGTATAGTTTCTGAGGAGCAGCTGGTGAATTTGAACCGCCAGCCTTGCAGTCTAGTGCTTATCCTACAGTTCCACACCAGTACTAGTTCCTAGCAAATATTTAAATTACTTACATCACCTGTAAAATGTTTTAACTTACATTTTTTTGGTATTGGTGAATTTCGTATCAAATGAGTTGGGTGGAAAAGAATGGTCATATTAATTTAATCTTTCCTTTATCACAACAAAGTGTACCACCTAGAAATTGAACCTGTGACTGAGGTGGTGGTTAACAATACCTTGGTGAGGTTTAGCTTTTTGTTTATCTTCTCAGTAATACGATTCCCCTAAAGGGCAGTATGTGTGAGCGTCACTTCAACCTTCAGATTCATTTTTAATACACAAAGCAATATTGCCACCTAGTGTTTTCACATGATTTTTTAAAATGGTATTTTTCTTTTGTTTTCGAATAACTTTTTCTTAATCCTTAGCTGTTTTTTTTGTTGTTATTGTTTGTTTGTTTTTATTGTCAGCAATAAAAAACTAGTAAGAATCTATGTATTATTTTAAGGGATTATATCTGTAATGTCTTACATAGTAAACAGATAATTGTTATATAAATTTACTGTGTATACATTTGCTGAATGTTTGCTAGTGATGTTTGCACAACTAAATTTTATAATGAGAAATTTTTATTTTTTAGAGTCGAGGTGGAAAAAAGTTTCTTGCTGTGCTGAAAGAAATCTTGGATAGGGATCCCTTATCTCAGCTATGTGAGAATGAAATGGATCTTATTTGGACTTTGCGACAAGACTGCAGAGAGAATTTCCCACAGTCACTGCCAAAATTATTGTTGTCTATCAAGTGGAATAAACTTGAGGATGTAGCTCAGGTAAGAAAAGATCATTTCTGTAATTCCTTTTGGTGCTGTGTTACTTTATTGATTTGACTTGAGTTGTTCTTTGCTACATTTCTATAGGATAGATAATTTTCTACAAGATAAATTTTGAGGTTTTAATCCTTTACAAGTTCTAAGTGATAGACCAGAACATTTTAAAATGTAAAAAATTCAGATTATAGGTTGGTTTGCCCAGAATCTTGTTTTTGCTGAAGATAAGTAAAAGCATTGATCCTTACATTAATCCAGAAAAGCACATGCTAGGCCCCGGGCAACTGCTGCCAGTTTTACCAATGAGCTTGAAAGCTTCTCTTCAGCCCTTTGCAATTGCTGTTCTAAAACTAATTATTTTTTGGGAATTATCTTCTATTATAAGACTTGACCTTGAATCATGGACCATTTGGGTCCATTGTAGCATTCACTTTAGGAAGTCATGGATATCAATTTATATCTTTTAACAGAATAGAAAGGAAAAATTGTGTGCTCCAAATACATCATCAAAAAAAAGACACTTGAAAAAAGAAAAGAAGTATATATTATATATATGCCCAGAGAATCATTCAATAATGAAAGTTGAGGCTTGAATATTTTCTTCAGTTCCCTCAGCTTGAGAAATGCTGAGCATGTTCTTCCCTTTTGGTTTTCTGACTCCAGATCTTTCCACATTTTGTTGTAATATTTGACTTTGTCACTCGAGCTGACCTTTGAAATTTTCGGTTCAGCTCTTGGATCTCCTCATTTCTTCCATTTGCTTTAGCATCTCTATGCTGGAGAGCAAGTTTCAGTGTCTCTTCTGACATCCATTTTGACCTTTTCCTTCTTTCTTGTCTCCTTAATGACTTTGCTTTCTTCATGTATGATGTTCTTGATGTCATCCCACAACTCTTCTGGTCTTCAGTCTTTAGTGTGTAATGTATCAAATCTGGTCTTCATATGATATCTAAATTCAGGTGGGATATATTCAGGTTCGTATTTTGGGGCTTGTGGACTTGTTTTCATTTTCTTCAGCTTCAGTTTGAATTTTCATATGAGCAATTGATGGTTTGTTCCACAGTCTGCCTCTGGCTTTGTTTTGACTGATGATATGGAGCTTTTCCATTGTCTCTTTCCATAGATGTAGTCAATTTGATTTCTGTGTATTCCATCTGGCAAGGTCCATGTGTATAGTCGTCTCTTATGCTGTCTAAAGAAGGTATTTTAAGAGAACAAATCATTGAATTTGCAGAATTCTATTATGCGATTTCCAGCATCATTTCTGTCACCCAAGGACATATTTTCTAACTCCTGATCCCTCCTCTTTGCTAAGTGGCAGCATCAATGGGCTCAAGCGTGGCAACAATGTGAGGTTGGCCCAGGACCGGGTAATGTTTCATTCTGTTGTGCATAGGGTCACTATGAGTCGATACCAACTCACTGGCACCCAGCAACAACAAAATATAATTATATTTTTTAAATATATATTGTAGCATTAACAAATTTGACATACTAGAATAAAATAACCAGATTTTTCTCCACTTACTTATTTTTATTTTTTCACCCTCTCCAGTTTTTTTCTTCTGAGTACATTTATATTGAATTAAATTTTAACAAAAATAGATTTCTTTTAATAATATACCTTCTTAATGTTAATTTTCTTTTCACTTAAGTAAAAAAGGGGTTTCTGATGTTATTTCTTTTGTATAATGGCTTTTGGAGTTCTGATGGGGCACTTTTGGATAGTACTGGACTGCTAACCACTGTAGGATAAGCACTAGACGTCTAACAAATTTGGTGGCTCAAACCCACTTGGAAACCCTATACTAGGTCATGAGTCAGAACTGACTCTACAGCACTTAACAAGGCTTTTAGAATTATGTTCTTATATATTCCCTCATCTAAACTGTTTCCCGTGTTAGATCGTATGAATATTGCTTTGGAAAGTAACTATTTTGTGTAGTTTAGATGGCTGTCTAAATATTTATCATCTGTTTACCTGAAATAGTTACCTTCTAACCACTTATTTGGAGTGCTGGTGTGGTGCTGTAGGATATTGCACTGGACCGCAAGGTCTGTTGGAACTGTAAGGTTTGACAGTTCAAATTCACCAGCCATTCCTTGGAAACCCTACACAGGGTCACTGTGAGTCAGAATCGACTCAACAGCAGTTAAGAATAACAACAACCACTTATTTATCCAAGTTCCAGGTTACCTTTCCATTAAATACCCCAGTAATGGTAGAAAATAAATAAAAGTAGTTTTTAGGTGGCCCATTTCCATATCTCATGTATAATGTTCTGCTGTACTTTGAAAGATATTTTAGAGACAGTTTCCTTAGGATGACTGTATGAAAATGAAATGGACTAATTCTTGCTTAGTACTGTGAAAGCTGAAACTTGTCAAGACTGCCTCATTTTTCCAGGTCTTGCAAGTTTTCCTCATGTAATGGTGCAGTCTTAACATTTTCTGTTACTTGTTTTAATAATAAAACCTGGCTTTCATTGGCTTTACTGTATTTATTTGGCCCATAGAAAAGAAAGTTTTAAATTCAGGTATTTAGTATGCTTGTCTCATTTCAAGAGAATATCTAAAGGGCTGTTTTCAGACATAACTTAAAGCCTCTCAGTTTTATAGAAGAAAAGCCAATAGTGCAATCTTTAGGCACAAGAAAATGTATATTGTTGTTGTTATGTGCCGTGGAGTCGGTTCTGACTCATAGCAACCCTGTACAGGGTTTCTGAGGCTATAAATCTTGACGGGAGCAGAAAGCCTCTTCTTTCTCCCACAGAACAGCTGGTAGTTTCGAACTGCTGACCTTTGGTTTGTAGCCCGATTCGTAACCACTATGCTACCAGATAAGTGTAAAAAAGCATGGATTTTTAGTTGTCCAGAATAAAAAGAAAGTAACAGTGGAATAAAAATTAGTGAGATTTTGTTCCGCTTTTCATCCTGCTGAATTGTCAGTTACATTGAATTGGTGCAAAATAATATATTCCATTTTCACAATAAATCTGTTACCTTTAGAAATGTAGAGCCAGAAGCCTGGTGTAAAGTTTGTTCTCTGCACACAGTCACAGCTGGACAAGTTATACAAGAGTACTAACCAGATCTCACAGAGTCAGCTCTAACACATGGAGACTCCATGCATGTCAGAGTACATGTGTCCTCCATAGCATTTTCACAGGCTGATTTAGGAGTCCTGGTGTGGCGTTGTGGGCTAATGCATCAGACTGCAAAGTAGTTAGAATCGCAAGGTCGGTGGTTCAAGCTCACTAGTTGCTCCTTGACCCTATACAGGGTCACTATGGGTCGGAATTGACTCGACGGCACTTAACAACAACAATGATGTTTTTAAAATTAAATAATAAAATAGAAACTATCTTAGTCTAATTCTCAAAGTCCAAATCACACACACAGAAAAACAGCATCAACAAAGCAGTCAGTAGGTACACCCAAGTCACCTCTGATGATATGACTTGGAGATTGAACAGTTGATTATAAAACCTCAAACCACTGCCATCTGCTCACCATTGTTTTGTTGTAGTGATCATGAATTGTTTTTGTATACTTTCAGTGACCTCGCTATCACTAATGTGATATCCAATAAAATACAAGGGAGAAATTAAAAAATAAAGTTTTTTTCAGGTATTGTCACGTTTTGGTAAGGCCACAAATCATTACAATTGCTTATGATTTTTTTGTTCTCCCTGATAACCCATATTCACCCCTGTTAGCATCCCTGATAAGAATACGTACTATAATAAATGTATCAATACCACAAGGAGGGAGGAACTCTTACAAGATGGGTCTCACAGGCTTGAGATTTGGGCTCTCTGAGAAGTTCTTTTCAGTGATAGATAATCTTAAAAATATTAACAACTAAAAATAAATTACCTCAAGGTAATATTATATTGTTAATGAACTGCTTAGGAACCCTGGTAGATGACAGGACTACAAGATGGACTGTTAACTAAAAGGTCAGTAGTTTGAGTCCACCAGGCGCTCTGCAGGAGAAAGATGAGGCTTTCTCCCCTCTTAAAGACTTATAGTCTCAGAAACTCCATACAGGGTCGCTGAGAGTTAGAACCAACCCCACAGCACACAACCACCAGCTTTGAACTGCTTATGTATATTCTTATATATAATATGGAGTCCTGGTGTGGCGCTCTGGGTTAATGTGCCAGTCTGCAAAGCCGTTTGAACTACAACGTCAGTGGTTCAGGCTCACCAACTGCTCCTTGGAAACCCTATACAGGGTTGCTGTGGGTTAGAACCGACTTAATGGCACTTAACAACAACATATATAATATGCCTATAATTAGCTTTAGTTTTGCAGCATACTTGTACCTTTATTTCTTCTAAGTGTTTCTTGCCTATTTCTTTGCTTGCCTACCTTTATTTTCCTTTCTGCCTGCCTACCTTTCTGCATTTTCAAAGTTTTTTAATGGCTAAAAATTCTAGAATCTAGGTCTTCAGTGTATCATACCACTACACCCTCCCCCCAATAAATAATGGCTTTTAATTAGTTGCTTATCTATAGAATTTTTAATAAGGTCATCTTTATTAATCTGTGTCAACAAGAATGGATTATTTTAAAGTAGTCTTTCTTTTGACCCATTTCTGTATACCTGTGTGCCAAGAAAAAAATAAGATGACTTCTTTCTTGCAGTATTTCTGAACCAGTTTCCATTTTCCAACAGCTTCAGGCGCTTCTTCAGATATGGCCAAAACTGCCCCCCCGGGAGGCACTGGAGCTTCTGGATTTCAACTATCCAGACCAGTATGTGCGGGAATATGCTGTAGGCTGCCTGCGACAGATGAGGTATCGCCTGCAAGTGGGTGTCAGAGGGAAAGTGGGTGCTTAGCATAAGTCAGGTTTGTATAAGACAGCTAAGACTCAGTGAGCCACTTTAATCTCTTAGTCTGTAGGAGCCCTTCTAAAATCTAAGTTCTCAGACACCAGCCAAGGCTCAGCCTCATAATCAAGGTTTTCAAAGGATAATAGAAAGATCTGCTATGTTAACTTTATCCAACACCACCCAGAATTAAGAAATGTTCATTTTTGTCAGCTTTTTTTTTTTTTTTAAAGAAGTGATGTTTAAATAAAATCAATATAAAATATTGCATAGAAATATAGTTTATTCCTATCATTACGGTGTAATATTTTATCGTGTGGATCTATCATAATTGTCCCATTACCCTATTAAGGAACATTTAAATATTCCCCCAATTGTTTTATTATAAAAATACACAGTGAACATGCTTCTGTAAATCCCCACTGGGCAGTACATGTGTGATAATCCATGAGATTTATTGAAGAATTGATAAGGTGAGGTAGTCTCAGGCAATAGGCATTTTCATATATATCTAGTCTCTCTAACCTCAAAAATGAAGCTGAAGCTGATGAGATAGGTCTTTATCTATGATAATTTAAAAATAAAAATTTTCTGAACAGTGTGGACACTGCGATCCCTTTTTTTCCTTTTTAAACTGTGTAGTTTTTAAAATGGTGTGATTTCTGAAAGGAATCTCCTGAACTCTTTAATACTGGTTATTTCCAAGGAGTAAAATTAGAAGTATGATGCAAGAAGGAGTGATTTATTTATATTTTATACTGTTTATAATGGACATTGATTTTACAATTAAACTTATTATACAGCTAGGTTTTGGTTATTTCCTCTTTAAAAAAAAAAAGGGGGGGGAAGAAGAAACCGCCTAACTATTCTTCAATCTCCCTAAGATTGCATTGGTGACCTAAGGGGGAGGGGGACCACCTGATCCTCTTGGACAGAGCCAAGTCCTTTTTAAAAATGAGTTGTACCTTCTGAGGAAATTTTTAATTTTTAAATTAAGTTTTTATTATGAAGTGAGTAATAGTTTACATGGGAGAACATCAGCTTTACATTTATCTTATCATATTTCATTTCATTGCAATGATTATAATCCCCGAGGAAAGTTTTGATCCCCAAGTTCTATGAAACAAATTCTATTGTTTTTCCTGTGTTCAATTTAATTATTATGAGGTGTGTTTTTTTTATGGTATCTAGGACCCTGGGTTTCAGTCCCAGATCTGCCAAAGAATACTTCCTTAACTGTATGGTGGGTTTGAGATTATATACATGTCCTAGTAACTAAAAGAAGTCCTGCTGTGGCATAGCAGGATAATTTGCTGGACTGCAAGGTCAATTTGAATCACATGGTCAGCGGTTCAAACCCACCAGTTGCGCCTCGGATGCCCTATACAAGGTCTCTAAGAGTGGGAACCAACTCGATATCACTTAACAAGAAGTAACTTTAAGGTCAAACCCCTTAATTTTCATCACTTCGCTGTCATTGCCTCTGGAATGTTTTTAAGTGATTGGTTTGGAGCTGTAGTCAAAATAGAGAACCACTGATCTTAACTAGGAGTCCTGGTCTGGCACTGCAGGTTAATGCACTGGACTGCAAAGTCAGTTTGAAGCACAAGGTTGGCAGTTCAAGCTCACCAGCTACTCCTGGGAACACTATACAGGGTTGCTGTGAGTCAGAACTGACCCGATAGCACTAACAACAACCTTAACTAACTCAGCCCAGTTAATTACAGAATTGTCTGATAAAAGTAGTTCAGTGATTTCAGTCTGTACTGTCAAATGAATTCTTCATATCCTTCAAACTATTTCAAGTTAAGATTTTATTTTTTCACTGGATATTTTGGAGAAGGCATTATTAAACCATAATGATAAGGCAGGAAAGTAAATTACTAAAATACTGATGGACTTTTTCTTTTGTAAATTACTAAAACATTAATGAGATTTTTCTTTTGTAAAAGTGATTGTATAAATGAGTATATATAACTTACTCCACATGATGAGAAATCAATATTAGAGTACACAATATTTTCCAAATCTGGGATGGTATAAATGTGTACAATAATCAAATACATCAGCCTAATTAACAAAAAATGCTCTTTGCACCTATTCCCATTTGAAATCTTCAGCTTTAAGCTGTGAATAGTACCTTGATACAGTGTAACAGTTTAGCCCAAAAGTACCAATGTACTTCAATAAGTTAACATTTGATAGTTTACTAGAGAGGGATCGTTTTCTGCCACAGGTTGGTGAATGACTTCATGTTTTTGTTTCTTTCAGTGATGAAGAACTCTCCCAATATCTTCTACAACTGGTGCAAGTTTTAAAATATGAACCTTTTCTTGATTGTGCCCTTTCTCGATTCCTATTAGAAAGAGCACTTGCTAATCGGAGGATAGGGCAGTTTCTGTTTTGGCATCTTAGGTAAGTATTTTGTTTTTCCATGTAAGCCTGCTGTGTGCTTCAGTAAATATGAATTAAAAATAGCATAGTCAGCTGTTTTTGTTTTTGAATCTTATTTAAAATTTATACTGTTTAAATTTTTCTATTTCGTGATACCTAACTCTTAATTTTCATGATTTGACAAGGTAATTCAGATAAGTGTCTCTTCATCCCTGCTTGCTTTTTAACTGAAAATAATAATGGATCTATTGCTGTTTTCCAATAAGGTGTGCATGTGGTTTTAATGTATTTGGTTTAAATGTAGACATAGTTTTTTCTTCTAGATGGCTATAAGGCAGTGTTATTATAATTGCTGCTATTGGGTAGAGACAGGCAGCACTTTTATTTTCAGCTTCTTTACTAATAAGTAAGTCATATTCAGAAATGCATATGCATTATTTCACTAAATTCATGTAAGAGTAAAACCAAGAAAAAATTTAAGTTCTTATTTTTCTGAGGAAAATCATATCTTCCTCATTTCTGACTCTGAACTCAGACTTTTTTTTGTCAACTGTGCTTCAGAGTATTAAAACTTATTTATCAGAGGGAAAAATCATTAATTTGGGGAGTCTTATATCTGAATATTGGTTCCTTTATTATTCTTAGAGTTTCTCTTATTTTTTAACTTGTGTTCTTTTGCCATCAAGTTTAGACTCCTTATTTTTAAACCCCTCAGGGAATAACATAGTAAGGTGGTTCTTTAAGTGAGAAAAAAACTGAACAGAATTTAATTGTGTCCTTAGTCAGTTGTGTGATGTCAGTTGAATTAATACATCTCTGCATTAATTTCACCTTCAGTGGTCCCTAGATGGCAAAATTACCTTTGCTCTCCAAAAGTCAAGTCAAATTAGAAGTGAAAATTTTGGACTTCTTGGAAGAAAGTCTTAACTAATTATAACTATTTTTAGATTTGAAAAATTAGAAGATTGACCATCTTGGTAATATTATATGACAGACTTATTATATCATATGTTTATTTCATTATAAAATAAAATCAGTTTTCTTATTTGGTGATTTGAAGTGTTTGATAAACAATCTATTTTTAATGTTACTAACATTACTGCAGGTCGGAAGTACACATTCCTGCTATCTCGGTACAATTTGGTGTCATCCTTGAAGCATATTGCCGAGGAAGTGTAGGCCACATGAAAGTGCTTTCCAAGCAGGTATCAGCTTGTTTGAATCTCTTGTTCAATTTGGCACATGGTGTTCAATAAGTTGTACCAATTTCTTCCATTATAGGTTATCTTCTTTTTAATTTATTTATTTTGTTTTTATTGTTGTTGAGAATGTATATAGCAGACTATATAGCTATTCAACAAATTCTACACCATCACATTCAGTAATGAAATCTATTAATACATACTTGTATCAGAGTTTAAGTCAAGAAATGAAGTTTCAGGAAATTATCAGAACATTAACTAAATGCTACCTGAAAAATAATAGTAAACATTCCTTCTGTTTTCTGTATTAATACCGCATACCTGTTTCCAAAATCGAACCCAGTGCTGTCAAGTCAATTCTGACTCATAGTGACCCTATAGGACAAAGTAGAACTGCCCCATAGGTACTAGGCCAGACGTGGTCCTCTCTCATCTGCACTTCTTTATGAACTTCCTCCTAATTAGGTTCCTTGTTGTTATTCTTGTTTCTCCCTCCACGTTCTCTACATAGCAACTAAGGTGATCTTTTTTGTTGTTCTTGTCATGGTTGTTGGGAATATACCCAGCAAAACATATGACAATTTAACAAGTTCATACATCTATAATTTATTCACGCTGATTACATTCTGCAAGTGGTACAATCACTCAGACTCCTTTTCCGAGTTGTTTCTCCCCCATTACCATAAATTCACTGCCCCCTAAATCTCATTCATACCTACTCTTTGAGTTGCTGTTGTTAATTGAATTACGTATCATTTATTTTCATTTTTTTAAGATAGTTCTTAAAAGAGCGCAGTAATCAAAGCAGATATTCTTTACTAGTTAAGCTAAACTGTTGTTCAGTTTTAAGATGACTTTAAGAGATAGTTTTGGTTTAAGCTTTAAAGGTTATATCAGGGCAATAGTTTTAGGGATTCATTCTGCCTCCATGGCTTCAGAAAGTCCATATGAATTTGAAAATCTGTTTTGCATTCTTCCCTCCCCCTTTTGATCAAGATTCTTATTTTATCTTTCATAAAAAAGGTTCAGTAATGATAACTAAATACCATTCAGTTTTGGTCTCATGACAACAGAAGGCAGTTGTTCTTAGAGGCTATTACCCATACATTCCATAGCCTTCTTGTATTCTTGGCTCTCTTTCCTGTTTTGCTCCAGGTGAATAGAAATCAGTTGTGTCTTGGATGGCCATTTGCAAGTTTTTAAGACCCCAGGCACAACTCAATAAACTAGAAATTAGAACAGAAGCACTAAACATGTTATTAGGCCAATTAATTGGATGTCTCTTGAAACCATGACCGTGTACCTCCAAACCAGCCTCGGCAGCTATTCCTTGTGTGAGTGTGTGTGTTGCTGCACATACATCTTCACATAACTTTTGCAGTTCAACTTTTACAAGTGTAAAACTTACAGCAATTAGAATAATTGTCTGTGTAAGAAGGAAATATGTTGTTGTTAAGTGCTGCGGAGTCGGTCCCGACCCGTAGCGGCCCTGCACAGGGTTTCCGAGGCTGTAAATCTTTATAGGAGCAAAAAGCCTCAACTTTCTCCCGCAGAACAACTGGTAGTTTTGAACTTCTGACCTTGTGGTTCACAGTCCGATTCATAACCACTGTGCTACCAGAGCTCTTCAAGCTGGGATTTTAGATAAATTATATTGTGCAATGCTATTTCCCCATCAATAATTTCCCGGCAGTAATTTTCCTTGCATTGGAATAAAACTCAAACTCTCTCCCAAGGCCTGTAAGGCCCACTTGATCAAGTTCCTACTTGTCTGACTTCATCATGGAACCACTCTCTCCTTCACTCATGGACAGTTTTTTTGGGTTTTTTTTTTTTTGGCTTTCTGGAAGTCTTGTTGTTGTTAAGTGCCATCGAGTCAGTTGTGACCCATAGAGACCCTATATGGGGTTTTTGAGGAGTGACTGGTGATCTTGAACCGCTGACCTTGCAGTTCAAATGGCTTTGCTGTCTGGCGCATTAACCCACAGTGCCACACCGGGACTTAGCTTGACTTTAATTATAGTAAATGGATGATATATTTATGAGCAAATTGTTCTTACTCTTTCTTTTTTTTTTTGACTTGATGAATAGCAAGATGATTGTATCTTTACATGGCAGTTGTTATCCTTGTAAACCTGGAAAAAGACAAAATATTGAAACACTTAAAGTATTTGACTTATGGCCATGGAGTGTTCAGGACACTGTCTAGGAAATGGATATCAACATAGAGATGGGACATGAAAATTCCCAAGTATACAAACAGAAGAAATTCAAATTTGAAATACTTCAGAAAGTTCCTGTTTGCACAGCCCAGTTTTCTTTTCGTTCCCTTGTTACCAGTGTTTGTACAGCTCCTGAAATTGTTGAGAAGTGGAGTGTCTGTGGTTTTTACAGATGGCTAACTTGGCAAGCCTCAGCCATGTCGATTTTATCATCAAGCTGCATAGAACCTTCCCAGTTTCCTGTGAGTGAGGCCTCAGCCTATCTGTAGAAACTGCATGCTTGAATTTATCTCCCTACAGATTCTTTCTTTGCAAAGAACCAGAGTTCTAAAATGAAAACATGATGTAAAACGTATCTCCTGTACATGGACATTAAAGCCATGATATTCATTATGTTTGTTTTACTAGTGTTTTTTTGTTTTTGTTTTAAAAAACAACAACACATTGCTGTCAAGCCAATTTTGACTTTTATCCAAACTATAGATCAGAGTAGAACTGCTTCATCAAGTTTCCAACATTGTAGCCTTTATGGAAGCAGACTGCTGCCACATCTTTTTCCCTTGGAGCAGCTAGTTAGGTTCAAACCACTGACCTTTAGTTCAGCACCTGGGCACTAACCAGTATACCACCAGGTGTCCTCCAGATCAGTATGAAGAGGCTTCAGAAAGTTTGTGGAAATTTTCCATTATCTCTTACTTCCATTTTTCCATGAACTTTTTGAAGCCTTCTTGTATATGATCTATTTAGTTCTGTTTTTAGCATTTGTTCTTTCCAGTTTTAATAAAATAGTAGTAAAATGTACTCCTGCTCTTACTGATTCATGATTGTCTGAGGATGTTTCTCATGGAATTTTATACAATGAGACATGGAAAGTTATCAAATAATAAAACATAATGATTTTGATTCAGTTGGTCATTGTTGATCTACTTTGTACTATTCACGTGTTTTTTCTCCCGTAAGTTTTGATAACCAAGTTAACATTTACAAATAAGCACTTCAGGAGTTAACAAGTAGTAATTTAGACTTTGATAATACAAACTGTGTCTATATTCACATTTATTGTAACTGCTATTGATAGAAGGCAGATATACTGAGAAGATGGCATACAAGTGTGATGACAAGAAGTAGGCATGTAGGATGAATGTCAGGATCCCCAACATTGCTTCTATATAAGTTTTCCTTTTATAGAGTTAGTCAAATGAACTGATTCTAATTGCTGATTTTTCAAATTCTGGTACTCAGTGAGCTTCAGAGTTCTGAGAAGTTTGCTTCATATTTCTTAAATATCCACAGTATATGTCCCTTTCCTTTTCTGTAATCTCTATAAGATCTTATTAAAAAGAAGTGTTTTTAAAAAAGAGTTCGCAAAACAGTACTTTAAGCAACAAGTGATTAAAAAATAAGCTTTTATTCTATATGTAAAATTGTTGCCATCCATCACAGAACTCTTTCATTTTAGGCTGGATGTTATATATGTACTGGTATGTGTCTGTATTGGAAGAGGGTGGTTGTTGGTAGTAATATGATCGTGTGACACTTTATTACTTTATATTATTCTTAACTACAATGAATGTTGGGGTTGGGAAAATATGTTTTTCAGGTTGAAGCACTTAATAAGTTAAAAACTTTAAATAGTTTAATCAAACTGAATGCAATGAAGCTAAATAGAGCCAAAGGGAAGGAGGCCATGCACACCTGTTTAAAACAGAATGCTTACCGGGAAGCCCTCTCTGACCTGCAGTCACCTCTGAATCCATGTGTCATCCTCTCTGAACTCTAGTAAGTGACTACTGTGCTTGGTGAATCTGTCATGAAACTAGCAATGCTAGAGGACTTCCAAGTCACTGACTTGGGAAGCAGTAGGGCCAGCTGTCAGCGCCATAAATGGGATATAATTAAGAAAGGAAAATCTTAAAAGTCCTCAAGGTTATTGTGGTGTTTGGTACAATGTATCCCTACTAGCTGAATATACCTCTGGGGTTAATGGACTTTATTGCAAATTAAGTTCTTTTCAATGGTGTATAATTAAAATTTCCTAAGACGAGAATCACATACAAATAAAATGTTGGGAACCACATTAGATTATTTGGTGATAGACCAAATAATCTGTATCTTAAAATGAAATGAATTTGTAAACTTTTTTCTCACTTTTAAATTACCTACAAAAATAATAATGGAAGAGTGCTAATGTGCATTCTGTATTATATCATTATTCAGATTTGAGCCTTTCCTCATTAAGAAATCAAGAATGGTCTCATAATATTAATTTAGTTATATTTTATATTTGTATTTGCTAAATAATATAAAATTAAAGAAGACAAATGAGTGGAGGAATTTTTAAAGAAGGTAGTAGTGAGAAGGACAGATGGAGGATTTTCATTCCAGCCCATCTGGCCTCAGTGCATACCAACCAAGGCTGCCCTCATGGTTGCTTTCAACCAGGAACAAATTCTCTAGGTTTGTCTTCATACAGGTATGAAAGGAACAGGTAAGGGTTTGTCCCCACGCCTCATAGCTCAGCTCACAGTCCTGCTGTAGTAGTAGGATTAGCACTGAACTGCTGCTAACTGCAAGGTTGGTGGTTCAAACCCACCAGCCTCTTGAAAACCCTATACCGAGTCGCTATGAGTCAGAACAGACGTGACGGCACTTAAAAACAATAAGTAGCTCAGATTAAAATTACAATTTTGCCATATATTTAAATTGAAATTGGCGAACTTTCCCCTTGTTTGATTTCAGTGTTGAAAAGTGTAAATACATGGATTCCAAGATGAAGCCTTTGTGGTTGGTGTACAACAACAAAGTGTTTGGTGAGGATTCAGTTGGAGTGATTTTTAAAAATGGTGATGGTAAGTGCTAAGGCTTTTAAAGGTCCAAATGCTTTTGTACTATTACTTAAAGGAATTAACTGAGATAGCATAATTAAATGTTCTTGGATAATGAGTACTTGTGACTTCTGTAAAAAATTTTTATTATAGTGTTTTGCTCAACATTTACTCACTTGACCATACAGATGTTATTAAGTAGATACCATTACGTCTAGACTTACGTTTCCTGGAAATTACTCCAACTATTACATAAAGTTTGTGAAGTCATGATACAGTGGCTTCATCCAATTCTTAAGAACTTCTTGTGTATTCTTAAAACCAAACGAGGAAATGATAAGCCATCTGAATTGTATGTGTGCTGTAATATAAATGATATTAGCACCTACTGAAGGAGTCCTGGTGTGGTATCGTAGGATAAACACTAGACCACAGGTCAGTTAGAACCACAAGGTCAGCAATTCAAACCCGCCAGCCGATCCTTAGAAACTCTATACAGGTTCACTGTGATTTGATGGCACTTAACAACAGGAACAACACAGTAGCTCTAGGGTTGCTATGAGTCAGAATTGACTCAATAGATAGGGTTTTTTGTTTTGTGTTTATTTATCATGAGTCCTGGTGTGGCACTTCGGGATAATGCACTGGACTGCAAGGTTGGTTTGAATAGCAAGGTCAGCAGTTCAGGGTCACCAGCTGCTTCTTGGAAACAGGGTTACTTTGAGTTGGACTGACTTGACGACACTTAACAACTTAATTTCTGAAATACTGTTACAGGAAGATGCACTAACTAACCAGCCTAATGTTTTATATGATGGTTATAGTAAATGTTAAAATATTGAAAAAATGTTTACAAAGTATTTGTCAGTGAGTTTAGTTAATTTTGACTAAGTCAAGTGAAACTGAAACTAATGAGTTGTTATGCATAAAATGAAAAGTTTTTACATTAAAGCAATTTCTCTTTCCTCTTAGATTTACGACAAGATATGCTGACACTTCAGATGCTGCGCTTGATGGATTTACTCTGGAAAGAGGCTGGTCTGGATCTCCGGTGAGATTTCTAGTGACTTTACATCTAATGTTATATTACTCCCATAGCACAATTTCTAAAACTTTATATTGATTCCATTCCTTCTATTGTTATTGTTATTCATAGTAATATTTACATGATTCTTTATAGTGTGCAGTATATTTTCAAATATATTAACTTTTAATTTAAACTTCATCAGATATAAAATTGTGCAAGTAAGTGAGATTCTAGAAAGAAGCAATAGGTCTGAATTTACTTACTGGACAGACAGCTCAAGTCTCATTACAACTTGCAATTTCAAAGATGCTCTGGGGTTAGGTGCACTGTGTGTCATGTCAGTGATAAAACCAGAGAAGGACCTGTGCTTCTTGTCACTTAGTTTAGCCCTTTTAATTCTAAATTTAAATTATTAATTCTATGGAACTTTTCAAAGATCCAGTTTTTGGGTTCATTCTCTTATCTACTCTCTATTTCATTTATTTCCACTGTCATCTTTATTCCTTCCTTGCTCGCTTTTGGTTAATTTAATCTTCTAATTTCTTAAGTACTGCTTTCAGTACATCCCATATGTTTTTGCATGTGTTCACTTTCATTCATCTCAAAGTATTTTCTAATTTTTCACATAATTATTTTTGGGGGCCTCTTGGTTATTTTGTTTCATTTCCACATATTTGTGAGTTTCCTCAATTTCTTTTTTACCAATTTTTAATGTCATGCCATATAGTCAGAGAACACATTTTATATTATTTTTGTTTTCTCATATTTTATTGAATGTTGTATTGTTTTATGGTATAAAATATTCTATCCTAGGGAACGTATTCCTTGTGCACTTAGGAAAAATGTGTGTTATATCGATTTGTGTTGGGTATAGCTGGTTTGTGGTGTTGTTCAAGTCTTTTTTTTCCCAATGGTCATCTGTTTGTTCTATCTTATATTGAAAGATAGGTGTTGAAGTCTGCCGCTATTATTGTTGAGAATTGTCTTTAATTCTCTGAATGTACGGCATGTATGTATCTTGTAGATGGCATATGTTGCTGTTGTTGAGTGCCATCAATTCAGTATTAACTTATTATGACCCTGTGTAGAGTTTCTGAGTAGCAGCTGGTTGCTTGAACCACCGATCTTTTGGTTAGCTTTCCAGTGGAATCAATTTACATGTAGTGTAATTACTGATATTGTGAGATTTGCATATGCCATTGTAAAAAGGATGTACGAGTAGTGGCTGACCTCCTGTGATATCACAAGAGGGAATGGGAATCAAACCTAACATCAGCCCAAGGCATCCTGTGAGACAAAGGTCAGACATGCCCTCTACCCTCCAAACCATTTTTTTTTTTCTTAATTTAAGGTTTTTATTGTGGATTGAGTGAAATTTATAGGGCACATCAGTTTCACATTCAACCATTCATATAACTTGTTTTATTACATTGATTATAATCCCCTCCATACATATACCATCAGTTAAAAGTATTTCTCTTTATCCACTTTAGCTTTTTTAAAAAAATACACAAACAAAAAACCCCACTCAGGCGTATATAATAAATTACAT